CTAAGCGGTAGAAGTTATAGTAGCTATATCGGAGATCACCACATCTTCTCGTCAGACTTCTTTTTTCTAGACTTCAGCAGGGATCGAACCTGCGTAATCGATGTTCAAAGTCAGCAGCGATAACCACTGAGCTATGTACACCCCGTAAACTCTTGTTTCTAATTCATTTTCCTTATTCAACCAACTACTAACAAGTGCTAGTGTAAATAGCACTATTAACATAAATAAAAAGCTAGCTTAGTTTAAATTTATTTTTAATTATGTCCATTATAGACTCCCCCAGAACATAATTAGGCCACCACTACATGGCAGTTCCAAAGCGGCTACTCAAAGCGGCTACTGGACAGCAGAGGAGAAGACCTTGCGGGGTAGAAATAGGGGGAAGAAGGTGGCTGCTCGCGGCCGTAANCTCCAAGTGAATCTTCATCATGCCAAGGCAGCGTCAGCTGTTCTCTGCAGGAGGTTCACTAACGAGGGTCTAGGTATAGCCTTCATCCAGGAACCCTGGATACTACGCGGTGAGGTCAAAGGTCTGAACGTCAATGATGGTAAGATCATATATGCCCCCAGCCCTCGCCCAAGGCGGCGATGCTATTAAGCAAAAAACTAACGTTTCTTCCTCTATTACAGTTGATGACGGCGGATCTGGTTGCGGTTTAGGCCGAAATTCCCACTCCAAGGGGTGTACAAGAGGCAGTACTTGCCTCAGCGTACTTTCCGGGTGAGGAGGAGATGGCCCCAACAGCAGAAGTAAAGGCTTTCGTTGAGCACTGCCAGCAGAGTGGTAAACCCTGGATCCTCTGCTGTGACGCCAATTCACATAACACTGTTTGGGGCAGCACCGATACCAACAAAAGGGGTGAGTACCTCCTCGAGTTTATTAGTAGTCATAATATAAATATTATAAATCGTGGCAATGAACCGACTTTTAGAAATGCTTTAAGGGGGGAGGTCTTGGATCTAACTCTAAGCAGTCAAAACATGTCATCATCTGTCACAAACTGGCGTGTCTCCGGGGAGGTATCAATGTCGGACCACATGCATATAGAATTCGACATGGGTCTCTTTCCTGAACACGAACTAGTTTTCAGAAATCCCAGGAAAACGAACTGGGAACTCTTCCGCTTTACTATAGAAGAGGGCGGAAACAGCCCCAAACACCCCATTACAACCAAACAGGAGCTTGAGAATGAAGCTGAACAGCTTCACTCAGATATTGTAATAGCTTTCAACAGCAGTTGCCCCCAAGGAAAGGTAAAATCCAAACGAGATGTGCCTTGGTGGAGTAAGAAGCTTGAGCAAATGAGATGCCAGGCCAGAAGACTATTCAATAGAGCAAAAAATACGGGTGATTGGAATCCGTATAAACTTGCGCTAACTTCCTACAACAAGGAGCTAAGGAAATCCAAACGAGCTAGCTGGCGAAACCACTGTGAGGAAATAAATAGCCTTCCAGAGGCAGTACGCCTCCAAAAAGCTCTAACAAGGGATTACAGGAATACAATTGGCACCCTCAAGAGACCAGATGGGAGCTACACTCAGCATCCGGGTGAGACCAGCAGACTCTTGCTGGATACTCACTTCCCGCGCTGTATATCAGGCTACTGTCGACCAGAATTGGGTGCTCCAACATCCACCTCTGGAAGAGAACAAAGCCTTGCTACGAAGCTGACCACTGTCGAGCGGGTGCAATGGGCTTTATCAACATTCAGCCCATACAAATCACCAGGACCGGATGGAATCTATCCATGTCTCCTGCAGCATGGAATTAGACACATAGCGCCGGTCCTTTCTAAACTCTATAGAGCTTCGCTCTTGTTGGGTCACATTCCCAGCATATGGTCTGAGGTTAAGGTCGTGTTTCTACCCAAAATGGGTAAGCCGGAACAATTACCGTCATCCTACCGACCAATTAGCCTCAGTTCCTTTCTTCTAAAAGGCATGGAGAAAATACTGGATCAGTACATCAGAGAAGTCAACCTAAGGGAACGACCTCTGAATAAGAACCAATTTGCCTATCAACCAGGAAAATCCACTGAGACTGCCATTCATAGCCTTACTTCAAAAATTGAGAAGGCTCTGGAGTCAAAAAATATAGCCCTTTGCGCCTTTATTGATATTTCAGGGGCTTTTGATAACACATCATATAAGGCAATAAAAGATGCCTTGTTAAGAAAGGGTGTAAGCCCAATCATAAATCAATGGGTGTTATCAATGTTAAGAACACGAAACATCAGGTTGGAATTAGGAGGCACGATAGAATCGATAACAGCCACAAGAGGATGCCCTCAGGGGGGTGTACTCTCTCCTCTTTTGTGGACTATGGTTGTAGACGAACTCCTTTTCACACTGAACAGCCAAGGCTTTAATACGCAAGGCTACGCAGATGATCTGGTAATCTGCATAACAGGGCTTCATGACGAAACTATCACCAACCGCATGCAACAAGCCCTACGTATCACACACAAATGGTGTGAGGATAAAGGCCTAACCATCAATCCTACAAAGACTATTATTGTTCCATTCACTCGAAGGAGGAAATTATCTACTACTAAACTCACTTTGAGCGGCACAGAAATAGAATTTTCCAGTGAAGCTAAATATCTGGGAGTAACTCTTGATAAATCACTTAACTGGAATGCACATTTGGACACTGTTATCAACAAGGCGATGAAGGCCTTCTTTGCCTGTTCACGACTTTTTGGTAAAACATGGGGCCTTACCCCCAAAATGACCTACTGGTCATTCAACACTGTCGTTAAGCCAATAGTAACCTATGCTTCCTTAGCATGGTGGACTAAGGCTACACAAAGAGGTGCAAGCACTAAGCTAAGTAAATTGCACAGAATAGTCTGCATTGGCATAACAGGAGCTATGAGGACCTGCCCGGCCGATGCACTCAGCGCCCTGGTTGGAATACCTCCCTTTCCTATTTTAATAGAAAGGGAGGCTACCACAGCGGCACTGAGAATCCTGAACACCTCCGACCTGAAAATCGGAGATATGACGGGTCACATGAAGGTCCTAATGAAATTCGCTAATGACCCCATACTACAAATGCGCGATGCAATGGTTCCAAAACTAGAAATCTCTAGGAAATTTGAGGTACACATTGCAGATCGAGCTCTCTGGAATACAGGGAACCCATACACCAAACCTAATGGGGAGGTTTGGTATACTGATGGATCTAAGCTTGAAAATGGTAGAACGGGGGCTGGCATTTTTGGGCCGAACTTTAAAAAAATGATACCAATGGGTAGCTACCCCACCATCTTTCAGGCGGAGATTCATGCAATAGAAATTTGTGGCAGAGAATGTCTCAGAAGGGGAACGTCATCGAAATATATCTGCATTATGTCGGACAGTCAGGCAGCCCTACTGGCCCTGAAGTCCCACAAAATAAGTTCTCAGCTAGTACATGATTGCCGCAATGTCCTAAATGCTCTTGGTGACAAGAATACAGTCTTATTAGGATGGGTACCAGGGCATGAGGGACATGATGGCAATGAGGAGGCTGACTGCCTAGCGAAACAGGGAGCTGCCGCAGTATTTTATGGTCCGGAACCCTTTTGTGGGCTCACCAAAGCACATATAAAGGGGACCATAAATAACTGGGTAGACAAAATGTTCAACAGGCATTGGATGGAATGTCCAGGGCAAAGACAAGCCAAACGATTTATCTGTCCTTCAAACGAAGTTTCAAAGAAGCTAATCAATTTAGGCAGAAAGGACCTCAAAACTCTCACTGGGTACTACACGGGACACTGTTCTCTTCGCTACCACCTCAGTAAAATCAATCTTTCAGAAACAAGCGTCTGTCGCTTCTGTGAGCTGGACGAAGAAACGCCAGAACACATTCTCTGTGAATGTGATGCTCTCGCTAGGCGCAGACTAGCCCACTTTGGTGGCGCTACCCTTAATCCATTTGAAATTTGGAACAAAACGCCCTTGGAGGTGCTAGGCTACATTAAGAGCCTTCCCATATAGGCCGGGGGCCACGCACAATAGACCACTTTAGAGGTCGTGGTGCATATGGCCCATAATAATAATAATAAAAATGTCCATTATATTATTGATATTTTTAGCGTCCTAAAATTAACTTTTTATGTAGATTTTATTGGTTATATTTACTGTTCATTATACACATCTCATTTTTGGGCAACGAAAATTTATCGAAGCAGCGAAGATTTACGATTTGGTGCGGACTAGGGCATTGAATCCCGGGATATAGAATCCCGGGATTTTAGGATCGCGGACACACTCCATGTCCCAAAATCCCGGGATTACAGCTCCGGGATCCCGAGATTTTAACTGATTCATTTACAGAATGAAAGAGATGTTGAAAACGAAAAAAATTGTTCATTTGACATGAAACACGAGAAATACAGCACACGAAATTTTGGATTCTCAGTAAACTGTACTTGTTCAAAAATTTTGTGCAAGAACTGTGTAATAACGAAAAATCTGGAATCAATTGAAAATACAACCAGGTGACAGAGTTGTTCTTCATTTTACTTTGGTGGTGTTTTTTCGAAAAGGATTTCTGCAAATATGAGTAAATGTTTTTAACAAGTAATATAGATATTTTAGAATACTATAAAAATATTTTAACATTGCATTGCAAACTCTTTATATTAAGAGGCATTATGCTCCCCTAAATAAGACCCAGTTCGGTGACAATGAATCTGTGTGCTACTGTAAAATGAAAAAAATTGTGATGAAGTCGAAATCCCGAAAAATCTCGGGATCCCAGGATTTGAATTTTTGCCTCCCGGAATCCCGGAATGCTTAAAATGCTTCGAGATTGAATGCCTTAGTGCGGACGATACGTGTGCGATAATTGTTGCACACCTTCTAGGGATGGCTTTTAATAATCCTGGAAACGAAGTGGAAAATGGAACTTATCGATAAAAAAAAAGTTGGAATTCAGGAGCACCCAAAAATAAAAACGTACTATTTTTTCGAAATCGCCAATCGCAAAAGCAAGTGAAAATGGGAGCATGGCCGTACAACTCTTTTTTTTTTAATTTATTACTTTTGAAAGTTGAGCGCAACTTGTGTTTATAGAAATGGGAAATGGAAACATCATTTTTATAAAATAAAAACTGGGCATGAAAGAGAAAATCGGACACATTTTATTATTTTTTTTGGCTTATGTTGCATTTCATTAGTATCTGATATCCGGAGACCTAACCAAAAATCATTGAAATCAACAAAATATCGATATTGTTGGCATCGTGTCCACTTGATATTTTACATTGTGGCCACTTCAAGGGACCATAAGCTCAAAACCTATATTATTTCCTCAAAAAAAACACTTATGTTCATACACTTCAATTTATTTAAATGTGCACATGTGTATATACACATATGGGCATTCCCACCGGAAGGTCTACCGCGAGCGAAAAATAAAATGTTTGTTAAATAAAAGCTCTGATCTAGTACTCCATGAACTTACAGGATTGTACACGAACTTGCAGGAAGTTGCAAGAAAAATGTTCCCGTACTCCAAAATCCTGTAAATGAGAGCGACTTTTGGAGAGTTGTGTAGAGAATGAAGTTGCAAGATTTTACCCGAACTTTTTCTTCTGGTAAAATCATGAAAAGTGTCAAGCAATCACTGGTTACAGGAAAAATGGTTTTTTTGTTCCCGTACTTTTTGTTGCTACTCACTTTTTACTCTCACTTCAGAGAGTAATTTTGCTGTTTGACAGGTTTAAAGGATTTTTCACGAAAAGTATTGGATCAGAGCTAAAGTTTTTATCGTATATTATATAAATCAAAATATCCAATAGTCATTATTCGAAAGAATTTACAGTGTTGCAAAGTTACAGAGGTAATACCATTAATACCATGTTCCGACCGACATCGAAAACATGTTTTCGTTGCTAAAACTAGTTTTCGACCTAAAACATGTGTTTTCGTCCATGTAAAATCTGTCACGAAAACCAGTTTTCGCTGAAAACTACTTGAAAACTCACCTTCCACTCGTTCCAATCGGTATCTTCACTAGTATTTTTCGATTATTTATCGAAGTGGAAGTCATATTTTATCATCTTTAATACGCTATTTCGTATTTATTGTTAATTGGCTGGCCAAAGTAAAATAAGAATGAAAGTAAGAGGTTGCTAATGAAAAGAAAATTTGGGAAAAGCATTTTGGTTTTGTTTTTGTGTAGCAAAACTGCAAAGAGAGGATGTAAGAAATGTCAACGAAAAATCTAACAGCCGGTGTGAACAGCCTTCAGCCCACAATTCCAAAACTCGTTTTCAAAATGTTTTTGTTGTCGGTCAGAACATGGTATAACATTCTCTGATCTATAGAGATAGAGAAGGTGCAAACTGAAAGTGGAAACTATTCGCGGACGAAAAATTAACAGCGTTAGAAAAGTTCAAGTCGGAATGTAGAAATTCTGTTGAATTGAATGTTGATAACATAATACAATGTTGAGCAACATGAAATGTGATGTTCTTTGCAAGCAAATAAACGAAAATATGGTAAATCTTCACATAATTTTCATTAGTTTGTAGTTTTTGTTGAATTTTTTATCTTGTTCTCCTTTTATGAAGATGCAAATACAATTTAAAATAATGATAGTTTGGCATAAAGTTTACACACATATGTACATGCATACATATGCTCTCTCCTCCTAGGATTGTTCTATACCAAAAAAAAAAATACCCGTAAAGTTTTTTTTGTTTTTTATATGGGAAAAAATAACTTTTCGTAGAAATGGTATAGAATGGTTAAAAATCAGTATTTTTCTATCGGAAAACTCTGTTTATCTGTAGGAGATTCCCAATAATAATACCCAGTTGTTTATTTAACCATTTTTTCATTGCAACTATAATTTATAGACCCGCCAAAAACCCACAAAAACCAACAAAAAATCGTTAGTATTAAAAAATGGTTAAATAAACAATTGCGTATTATTATTGAAAGTCTTCTGAAGAGAACCAGAGTTTTCCGATCGAAAAATATTGATTTTCCAAAATTCTATACCATTTCTACGAAAAGTTCTTTCCCATATAAAAATACAAACTTTGAGCGAATTGAGGGAGCTCTGAATATTATTTGATTTCAAAATAAAAAAATACTGGTATACTTTTTTTCGATATAGAACAATCTAGGGGTGAGAGCAGTACAATTCCGACTTTACTGTTTTTGGACCACCCTAATGTACATACATACATATGTGTGTTTAAAATTACCTACTTCATTTCATTTCATTTATTCATTTCAATGATTATAATTAGTACAATAAGATGTCTTATCTTTTATAGTACAACAAACAATAATTATTACAAACAAAGGACATACGAATACAATAACGTCTATATGATTCCCTCATTACAAGTATGTATATATAAATTAAAAGTATAGAGGGAAAAATAAGTAAATAAATAAATAAATAGTAACGTTACAAAGTTAATGGAGAAGTAGCTTACATTTATTATAGATAGTCAGTTAAACAAAAAAAAAGTAACAAAATTATAATAATAATTATATGCCAAATTTAAATTTTATTATCAGAGAAGTAACTATAAAGAAGTCGCCTATAGTTGTTTTGGTTCAGAGTGTTCCTAATAGTAGCCGGAATAGAATTCCAGATACGTACGGTGTTGACAAAAAACAGTCTTGTGGAGGTTACATAATTAAAACTGGGTACAGTTAAGGTACAAGAACGGACAGATTTACTAAATAAAAGCTTTTCATACAAATATCAAAATACAAATACTTGTGATATAATTTTGGTGGTATGAATATATACATACTTGCGCTTTCCTAAAAATGGGAATAAAAATTGGATTCGCATAAAATTTTAATTCCAATAACTAATATTTTAGTGAAAACATTTACAATAAAGTTTTCAGTAACTTTTGGCAAATCTGAGCGATTATGTGCAATTATACATGCGTTTGTACCTACATATCCATTTACATATATTATTTTAAACAAAGCTAATAGTAAAATTTAAAATGGAATATGAATATGACAATTAAAAAAAAAAAAAAAAATATACTGGGCCGATTGACAGACAACGGCACCAAAACTTGAGCCCTAGCATACGCGCCACAGTACATTATTCAAATTGCATCTCTAAATCACTACAAATATGAAATTCTTCATTCATCCAAAAAGACAAACGCATAAATATGTATGCATTAATAAATGTAAATATGTGCATACATATGTATGTACGATTGATCTGCTTTCGTCTTCCCCTCGCTGTCCTCCATAGACAGACAAATTATTAAATTTCTGCGAATTGCCACGACGCCATCAATATTAACCCTAGGTTACGAAATATTTAGGTTTTCGCATAAGTTAACATTTAATAAAGCCATACTCGTACATTTATATGGAGAATAATATTTCATTTAAAATTCTGCATGTAAACATGTTCTCGACGATACGTGTAACTTTCATGAAAATTAACTAAACAATTCATGTTATATTAACGGCTGGAATGAAAAAAACTATGTCCGCTAAAATGGGTTAAAATCAAATTTGAGTTGACATATTTACACGCATACATGCAGACATACATATGGACATATACAGTGCACTAGCACTAGCTTGAACATAGCATATCTTGTACTTTGATGTGGTTGAATCTTTTTATGGTACTGAAGATTTGCTTACGGGTGAAAAAAAATTAAAAATCATCCGTGGATATATGTAAATATATTTTTATAAACACTTTGAAGTTAGAAATTTTTAATATTTTTCATTTCATTTCATTTATTATAATACAATAAGATCCCAATGATCTTTTATAGTACAACTGTAACTTATAATAAAGAATTACAATATGTTAATGTTTAAAATTAACTAATATATATAAGTCAAAAACAGGAACAACAAAAACTTACAAAACTCTATAGAGAATCACAGGTGGAGCATAAGGAAAAACTTAAGAATAATGTATTGATTACCCTATACCTAACTAGATAGCGAGCCTCAGAGGAAAGGTATAACTTTGG